AGTGTTTATCACTGTTGCTGAGGTATGTTTCTTAATGCAGCAGAATGTTGGATTCTATTTCCATAACCATTCTGTTAGCCTGTTTTTTTTACTGGAGAGTTGAGTCCACTGATTTTGATACGATGTTAGTGACTAATGATTGTTAGTTCCTTTTGTTGTGGGGTTGGTGGTGATAGTGTATTTGTGTGCTTGTTTTCTTTTGGTTTTGCTGTTGTGAAGTTATGTATATGCTGTGTTTTCTTGAGTGTAGTTGACCTCATTGGGTTGGAGTTTTCCTTCTAGTATCTTCTATTGGGCTGGGTTGGTGCATATTTACTGTTTAAATTTAGTTTTGTCATAGAATATCTTGTTTTCTCTATCTATGGGGAATGAGTTTTGCTGGATATCGTAGTCTGGGTTGGCATCTGTGGTCTCTTAGTGTCTGTTTGACATCTGCCCAGGCCCTTCTGGTTTTCATAGTCTCTGTGTCAGTTGTGTTTCTGATAGGTCTACCTTTATATGTTACTTGACCTTTTTCCCTTACTACTTCTAATACTTTTTTTTTTTTTCTGTAGATTTAGTATTTTGATTATGTAGTGAGAGGAATTTCTCTTCTGGTCTAGTCTATTTGATGTTCTATAAGCCTCTTATATGTTTAAAGGCATCTCTTTCTTAAGGTTGGGAAAATTTTCTTCTATGATTTTCTTGAAAATAATTTCTGGACTTTGGAGCCTGGAATTTTCTTTTTTGTCTCTTTCTATTATTCTTAGGTTTCATCTTTTCATGGTGTCCTTATGTTTTGTGTCAGGAACTTTTCCATATTTTTTTTAACTTTTCCATCTTAATGTTTTCTTTGAGAGATGTATTGATTTTTTCAATTATATCTTCAGCTCCTCAGATTCTCTCCTCCATCTCTTGTATTCTGTTGGTGATACTTATCTCTGTGGTTTGTGATCTCTTTTCTAAGTTTTCCATCTATAGGGTTTTCTCCATTTGTGTTTTCTTTATTGATTCTAATTGCATTTTCAGGTCTTGAACTGTTTTATCCATTTCCTTCACCTTTTTGATTGTGGTTTCCCGTTTGTCCTTGATGGCAACCTATTTGGTTGGTTGTATTTTCCTATAATTCTTTGAACTATTTTTTCATTTTCTTTTTATATGTCTCTAATAAGTGTATAATCATAGATTTAAGGTCATTTTTCTGTCTTCCAGCTGCATTAGAATATCCATTTTTGGGGGGGGGGTTCTGGTGGAGCCATGATGTCCTGGTTTTTGTTGATTGTGTCCTTATGCTGGCCTTTAGCCTTCTAGCTCTCTGTAGCCTTTGTTGAACCTGCACCTAAGACTAGATCCTCCCATCTCTGGTGTCTGGAGTAGTCTTCAGGTCCAGGAGAACACAAATGGATGCTGGTGTTTCAGATACAGCCACATTGGAGTGTGTGTTTCAGAAGGCAGGGCATGGCCACAGGTGCCTTGAATGGCAGCGGGTGTCTCAGGTGGTAGCTGAGGGGGCATAGCCACCTCAGGTGGAAGCTGCAGGGTTGGAGGAGGGCTTCTGCCCCAGGTGGCAATTGTAGGGGATCCAGTTCCTCAGAAGGCAGCTGATCGTCAGCTTACAGGCCTTTCATTTGCTGCACTCTTGGGACTCAGACTTGTCTGGGCTCTGCCATCTTGGATCTGGGATCTGTATGATTTTACTGTCCACCCGGTCTCCATAGGGGGACCAATAGAACCGTGGTTTGAAGATTGGGATGCTGTCCCAGGAATCCAGACACTACCGTCAGGGGACTAGGAGTGATTGGATGTCTGGCTGCTGGAGCGGAGGGTCCCTGGACCTAGGGGCCCACACTCTCTCTAGTATGGGGAAAAGGCAGGGGGCTCACACTTTGTGACCCCTGGACCCAGAAGACTGCCACAGGGGACCTGGATTCGATGGCCCCCAACTCCCTGGATGTCCCCTACAGCCTGGGAAGCACCAAAGTCGGTGTGTTGGATCCAGCTGCCAGTTTATTCACTGGTTTCAGTCTCTGATCTGCCCCTTAGATACGGTACATACTGGTGGCCACCCTCTTGGAACTCCCTTACTAACTATTTTTATTACTGCAAAATACTATGTGGATCAATAAAAATCTTAGTTTTCTTAGGTCTGTAAGTACTTTCCAGTTGCTCAATAGGACTTTAGATATCTTTCAAAATAATTTTTTTCAGTTACTAATTATCCTCTCTTCATGCCATTCTACTTAAAAAGTAAATACAATATATTCCTGGCTTGGTGGCACACATCTCTAATCCCAGCATTCCATAGAGGGCAAGGCCAGCCTAGTCTACAGAGTAAGTTCCAGAATAGCCAGGCCTATAAATAAATGCCCTGTCTTGGAAAAAAAATAACAAGAAAGAAAGGAAAGAAAGGAAAGAAAGAAAGAAAGAAAGGAAGGAAGGAAGGAAGGAAGGAAGGAAGGAAGGAAGGAAGGAAAGAAAGAAAGAAAGAAAGAAAGAAAGAAAGAAAGAAAGAAAGAAGGACGGAAGAAAGAAAGAAAGAAAATATATATTAAAATGCTATGGAGTCATACTGGCATTTTTCTTTCTAGGTCACATACACATTTTAATATTTGTTTTCTGGATTCTTTTTAAGTACAGATTTACAAAACACTGATTGTAAGTGTGTCATCACTGAAGTTGACTACATTCAGAATTGTATTTGAAGTTTCTGGTAGGGATCCAGGGACCCTTTTCCATAATTAATGAAAATGGCTTTCAGTGGATAAACTTGGAAGCACATTTAATGGCGATGATGACAATGCTTAACATACAGCAGCTACTGTTTCACACAAGTTACAAGAAATAATTAACCTGAGCTGGGCATGGTGGTGCATGTCCGCGATCCCAGTACTCCTGAGGTGGAGGCAGAATGACTAAACATTCAGTCAGCAAGGGCTCAGCGTGACCAAGTATGGTGAGAAGGCAAGAGCTTCTAGAGCTTCTAGAACATGGAAGGGTGGGGATGGGTAGGTACTTGATGGAAGAATGGCTTTTAAAACCCCAGTAAGGGTTTGCAGGGTGAGGAAGACTGCTAAGTGGGTAAAAGAGCTTGCCACACACCCCTGACAATCTGAGTTCAGTCCCAGGAATCCATGCAAAAAGTCCAGTACCCCTAAAGCAGATGGGAGGCAGGGACAGGAGAATTGCTCTGAAGCTCACATGCCAGGTAGTTCAGACAACGCGGCAGGAGCAGAACCAAGGAGAACAGAAACAAGTGAAACAGTAGCAGAAACATGAAAATTTATGCTCAAAAGCTGCCCTCTGGCTTCTACATTCAAGCTGTGAGACTTGAACATGAAAAATCTAAGTTTAAGGTTTGGGGGTTTAACATAAAGTATAACAAGTAGAAATTTAATTTTTCTAAATGTTATTTAAATTTCCCATTAGATTTTGGATAGTATTTTACAAGGGGGAAATGTAAAGGAGGTCATGACCTCATTGGTATCTACAATTACTTTGTAAGGTACATCTTCTAATTTGGAACTATAATATCTGATAACAATTAGGTTTTCTTAGTGCTACGGAACGCAGAAGACGTACTAGGATTGGGAGTATTATTACAAATGATGTGATTTCATTCAGGACCTTAACAAATCTCTGTTTTGAGGCTTCTCCATGTGATGATGTGCATGTGTGAGTATATGTACATACATAAATATTTCAAAGTAAATTAAACACGTATGTTCATTCTAACTAATAACTAGAACAGATTAGCAATCATACACAAGTCAAAAGCTAGATATCGCCTACACCCCAGAAACCCTTACAGTATGACTTTTTAAAAAAGAGCATACTTAGTACCTATAATGTGATAATTACACATATAAATGTCAAGTGAATCATGTGACCAATCTTTTTATGGGCAAAAGGAATGTCCCTTAAGTCCATATTTAATTTCAGTATGGAAATTGAGTATGTATCAACTTAAAATCTATTGAGATTTTCATACAGAGATATGAAATCTCTAAGTATTATTTTCAATTAAGAAGATATATCAGGCATGCAAAAACTATAGAACTTGAGAAAAAATATATAGATTTCCATAAACTTTGTGAATACAAATGTAATATTAATAACTTTAGAATAAAATCATTTGGTTAAATTAAAATCAAAGACACTAAAAACAATATCTTTAATAATGTATTTCATTAAACAAATTAGGTAAAATGAGACCAATTTCTGTATAGATTCTAGTATATGCTTAACATCCAATAAATGTTAAATAGTAAAAATATGAATTAGGTTAGTCATAGCATATCTAAAATACATTTTACTAAATTTGAACCTATTTAAAATTTTATATTAAAGAGACTGACATGTCACTGATTCATGACCTTTTACAATATAAAAAAAATTAAACATGGAATCGAGACCTGTGCCTTTAAATATAGATCTTAGCAATAAACTACTAAAGAACACAAATATATGTCAGAATTAAATGAACAATATATTAAAATAATTCTTTTATAAAAAATAGGGTTTTTTAGAGGTTTTTTTAAAACAAATACATTTAATATAAGGAAAAGTCATGAAATACTAAAGGCAAACTATATAAACATATACTAATATGAGTAAAGCTAAATGGATAATATGGATAAAAATAACATTTAGAAGTATCCCTCTTAAACTGCAGTGTGGCAATACCTGAGTTATGTGCCCTTTAATTTATGCACATGATGGATAGCTTGTTAAGGGCATATCTGTAACCATTATAATTGATAGTAGCTGAAGGCAGTCAGGCCATAATTTCTATTTAATGGATGGGATAGTAAGGGAACAGCAGCAGCATTTTAAAATAAGTGCCTACGAAGTTTACATTCATGTCCAAAGTAACATTTACATTCTAGGCCTTTCTATGTTAAATTCCTTGAGAAGAGAGAAAAACCAGCTGCAACAAGAGCTATATATTACTAAATCAAAATCCTGATTTAACCAATAACCAGAAAAATCTTATCATAAGTGAAAAAGAATGTTCAACTAACCATTTGATGGTCCATTTCTGTGCTCTTGTTCTTTGGGGGTTGTGGGAGAAGAAAATGGACTCATTTGATAAGTTCCAGTAGTTGGAGAATAAGCTGTAATACTTTTCTTCCTTGTGATTTTTGAAGGACCAAATGACTAGAAATAAATAATAATTTGGAAGAGAAGTACTTACATTTGGTTACAGAACTTTAAAAATACCTTAAGTAACCTAGGAAAACTCAAATTAATACCACTTTTCTTGCTCTTTCTTTTAGATTTTGACTGTATTTATCACCTTCAAAGTGAACACTATTCCTTTCAAATGAGATAGCTATTTCAGATTTCTATAATAACCTCAGTTTAATGCATTGAGGTTATTAAGCTTATTTGCTAGATCAACGTGCAACATTCCTAACTGCTGATATGTCCCATCAGTTTTGGAGGTGTGGAAACTGGCCAGCACAGTCTCCCGGCTACTAGGCAGTATGTAATATGACGTATGTATGTAATAACTTGGGAGCCAGCCCAGGAAAACTCTAAGGTGCGTGTTACTAAGACCTAGGAGTTCTAGGAAAGCTCGTTGCTCCCCACACCTACTTGTGGGTAAGTGTTCTTTCCGCCTTAAGGATAATCAAGTCAGTGTCTAAACAACTGAGTCTTAAGACTTGTCTTGAGCTACACAACGCTCTGCAGCTTTCTCCTTTGTATTCTAAGCAGTATATATCTTGGTCATATTTTATGTTTTTGTCTAACCCATTAGAATTTGTTCCTGAAAATATGATTTATCTTTATACCCCAGAGAACAAAACTTGTATAATGACTGACTGAAAAGGGAGCTGGCATCCTCCTCTACGCAGAATACGCTCATTTATGAACTAGCGCCTACAAGTTCCGCGAGATTATGCTCACGTGGGTCTCGAATCAGGCTACTCCTCAGAATGTTATCTCTTACCTTCCCAAAGGGTCTCCAATTCATCACCCACTTTCTCTGATCACCCATTACCACACTATCAATTGCCTGCTCTTGAATCCCTCTGAGCCTTGCTTTCTACTGTGCGTATTGATCACTCCACTAATGTGTAGAAGGAAACACAATGAGGGGCTAGGGAGATAGCTCAGCACAAGGGCCTGGATTCAGGTCTCCAGAATCCAGGTAAGGCCAGGTGAAATGAAATCCATCTGGAACCCAGAACTCTTATGGCCAAGATGGTAGATAAAGACGTGAAAATCCAGCAAGCAGGAGGACCGAAGTTCAGATCCCCACAGTACACATAAAGTCGACATGGCAGCACATGCCTGAATCCTCGTTCTTCTATAGCAAGAAGCGAGGCAGAGACGGAGAATCCCTGGAAGACTGTGGGTCAGCTAGCCTGGCAAACACAGTCACAAACAAGAGAATCCATCTCGAGGCAGAAGGGGAACACCCAGGCTTGTCCTCTGACTTCTATACGTGTGTCACGGCTTACGTGCACCCACATTCTCCCTCCCCGCTTCCCTCCTTCTGTCCTACCCCCACCTCTCATACATACATACACACACACACACACACACACACACACACACGATTTTAAAAGAAAAAGATAAACTGCTATGGCCTCAAAGATTGTCAGCCAAAAGTTAAATAAGCCAGAGATGCAGTTTTAAGTTCATATGTCTGTTAGAGAAATTCACGAAGGAACAATCACAGTGGGCTACAGTAATCTATTACAGAAAGGTTCTTGTGAGTGGGAAGGATGGGGCTGAGATGACTAAGAGACTAAAAAAGGCAGGAAAGGGAGTTGGGAATGTTGCTCAGTTGGCAGAGTGCTCTTCTAGCATGCCCAGAGCCCCAGTTGCAATCCCTAGCACCCAATAAATTGGTCCCAATGGTGGATGTCTATAAATCTCAGCATTCAGGAGGTGGAGGCAAGAGGATCAGAAGTTCCAGGTCATCCCTGGTTACACCCTGCAGGTGAGGCCATCTTGAGAAACACAAAACCCTTTCTCAAAAAGAAAAGTTAAAAAGGCACAAAGATCTGAAACCAAGAATACTGAGTATACGGTTGAACTCAGAGCATAAAGGAAAGGTCTCAAGGCCCAGTCAGATATTGCCAACACTGTGGAACAACTAGCTTGGACGCTATCTTCAAACAGTTCTATAGTCAAGTGTCCTTCAATACACGCATGGTGGTGTCACCTTTAAAAATAACCCTGGTATTTGTTCTAAAAACTACAGGTCAAAATGTTTATAGTTAACATTTTAAATGATATATATTTGTTTAGGGGAAAAAAAAGGCATTTGTTTTATATATCCACAATTGCTAAAATTGTAAGCACACTCTTGTACAAACATCTTTATAAGTTCAACTACTGTGCCACTGCGTCTCTAATGCAGTCCCGTAATGCATCCCTGCAGGGTGGAAGGGCTGTTCGTGTCTTTATCAGGCAGTTACCATTACCTTCCATACTGAGTTTTCACCTGTTTATATGTATTCAGTCATAAACTATGACATTTACTCAAGTCCTACTCAACTTCTCCGAGAATTTACGGCCGAGAATGTGCTCACTGTGTGTGTACAGGAAATGAAAGTTACTGCCCTGCTGTATGTTTATGTCCATATGTTTTCCTATTTCACCAAAATTATTTTATCCAAACTCCCAAATGTCTAAACATTGCAACTGTAGATAATATATTTCTTCTTGGAAACAGTTCTATAGCTGTCAGAAAATGTGTGTGTTCACACATGTGTGTGTGTGTGCACGAGTGTTTTACTACCATGAATTCCCTTTTCTCCTCTCCCTTCTTAGTCACTTCTGTTGTTTAAAAAGAAACATGTTTATCTGTAACTGCCACACACAGACAACTAAAACCTACCTTTGCCTGCTGCCTCACCAAAACATTCTTCAGCAATCATCATGTGAGGTCATTGCCCTGTGTGCACAAACTCCCCCTGCTTCTTTCCTCAGTTTTACCACACTCCTCAAACTTCCAATCTGTGAAGATTCAGAGACAGCAACCCTAGGATCCTAAGAACTCCATTCTGCCACCTGCCAAGCTCTGGGGACTCATACACTACCTCCCCAAATGGGAAGAGATTAAGAGAGACACTGAGTTACTAATTAACAGAAGTCAGCAAGGAAGAGTGCCGTTTATTGATCCCTTTAGAAACAACAACAAAGAAAAGGTGAGAGGATTAGAGTCAGCTAGAAAGGGCAAAGGATTCAGGATGCAACAGAATGCAGTAGACACTACACCCACTTCTATAATAATTTATGTCTGCTTCGAATATTTACTGACACCTTAGAAATGTTTAACACTATTACTAAACAAAAAAAGACTGTCCTAAGATTTAGTCTATTATCAGCCCAATCGCCATCACTGTGCTTTTTGTTAAGAGGTCAAACCTTTTATCTTAGCAAAACTAAAATTTGAGCATAGATCTTTCTGCTAAAAAAAAAAAAAAAAAATCAATGCTCTATAATTTCAAATAGCTATGGCATTTGCCTTTCATATCCTTCATGAATTGTAGCTTGCTTTGTCACCTTGTTTAAAGCATGTTCAACCAAAAAGGTGCCTGCATTTCATTGATTTTGTACCTCTTAAAAACAGTCTAGAAAGCACTAACTAAGGGTTCTTTTACAGTGAAATATGGGATATAAAATTATTATTATGAACTGTTAGCTGCCATCACTAGAATACTTAAAACAGGTACTGTAGATATCCCGAAAAGGGGAGCTGAAGGAAGATCAGTCTTTTGTGTCTCTTCTTTTTGTACAAGGTTGGCTAATAACCGACATTGGTCTTGAATCCTCATGCCTCATCAGTGCTGGGATTACACATGTGTGTCATCATGCCTGTTGGGATGATTATTATTAAGCTTACTCTGATTGTATCAACCAGAGAAAGCTTAATAATAATCATCCTATGATACAATTATGGCATATTACCAGCACTAATTTGGAATTTATACTCAGATATTCTGAAGATTAACTGTGATTTTCATTTTGGACCTACCATTTCTGAGCTGCCACAATTATCACTTTTTTTTTTTTTTTTTTTGTCTCTTTAGATGTTTATTTGACTAGGTTTAGATACACTCCTTCAAATTCTGGCACAAACTCCCTCACAGTAATAAAAAAGGGGAAAAAAAGTATCATTTAATTTTTTTACTTTAAAATCTTCAGGTTTTACTAAGATATAATTGGCAAATAAAATTGGATGTATTCAGGCATACACTATGATAAGTCAGTGTGTATATATCTGTGAAATTTCCATCCTAATCAAGTTAATTCACATACCCATCACCTCACACAGTTGTGGGGGGTGTGTGTGTGTGCATTTGCATTTGCTAACAAATGCAAAGAGCACAGCAATTTGAATAAGGTCTTAGGCTCTGCATTGTCTCTTTCAAGCTTTTCCATCTCATAGCTGAATGTCTGTGCCCTAGACCAACACCTCCCCATTTTCTCCACCTCCTGACTCTGGAAGGCGGTGTTCTATTTTCTGATTTTATGGGTTTGATGGGTTTTAGATTCCACATACATGTGGAATTAAGTGGTGTTTTCTGAAAGGACACTTTTTAATCTAGAAATACAAATGGGAACACAATATGCTATTCCTGACTTTTAAAAGTTTGGTCTTTTCGTCATCTCCCATTGTATTGGAAGCCCTAGTTTCTTTTAACCATGCTGTCTCTCCAATGCTTATTGAGTGCTATGAGGCTCCAGATCATCCAAACAGAATTAATTCAGGAGGAAAAAAAAAAACATTTCTTCTTGTCTCAGTCTGCTATTTGCCATCTAGGAGGCTCAGCATCACTTTCTCAGCAGGCTTAACGACGGCAAACACATACCCACATCCAGCAAGTGCGGGGAAACAGCCTTTCTTCACTTCAGTTTTGTCAAATCTGCCACACACTTTTTTCTTTGCTTTCCTGCACTGATTCTAGCTTAATTAAATACAATTATCACTTTTAATGGTACTAAAGACCCTGGGATTTGTTGCTGCTTTTACAGTAGCTATGGGGAATAAAATAACCTTGTACTTATCTAGTTTTGTCTTACAGGGATATCAGGGAAAGAATATGAGCACACATGCACACAAAGGGAGGGGGTGGGCATAGTGGCAACACCCCTTCAATCCAAGCACTTTGGATGCAGAGGCAGGTGGATCAAGGAGTTTGAGGCCAGTGAGATCTATATAGTGAGCTCCAGAATAGCCAGGAATACATAGGGCTACATTTTCTTTTATAAATTTTATGCCTTGAGAAAAACATTTAATTAATTAATTTATTCACTTTACATCCCGGTGATAGCCCCTCCCTCCTCTCCTGTCAGTCCTACCTTCCCTTCCCATCCTGCCTCCCAAGTCCCCAGAAAAGGGGAACCCCCCTACCTACCCACCAGCTTATCAAGTTGCAAGAGGGCTGTAGTCTGGTAAGGCAGTCCTGTCGGGGGAAGTGATCATGAAGCAGGCAACAGAGAAATTTTTGGCTCCTGTAAATTCACAGAGATGCTTTCTTATATTTTCTTCCAAAGGCCTTACACTTTTGGCTAACTTTAAGACTCTAATGTTGAGTGTGGTGGCACACACCTTTAATCCCAGCATTTGGGAGGCAAAGGCAGGCAAATCTCTGAGTTCAAGGCCAGCCTGGTTTACAGAGTGAGTTCCCTGTACTACAATGAACAGCCCACAATGACTTGCAACTCCAGTTCTAAGACAGTAGTGAGGCCTCTGCTCTCCAAGGGTACCTGCATTCATATGTACACATCCCACATATATACATATAATAATCTTTTTAAAAGATTTTTCATGTGGATACCATTTATTACAGACTTTTTTACATAGAACAAACACAATATTTTGAAATGTTTGTTAAATTTAGACAACTATTAGAGGTAACATAAACTAAAATTTTCAAGAAATAGAGAGTCAAGCAATATTTAAGCCATTATACCAAAGGAAAATAGCCATAGTCTATGAAAAGAGTACTTCAAATAAGCATACCGGGGATTCATACAGTGGTTCTGTTGCTCTGCAGTTTTGCTATCATGGTCACGAAATTTGTCTGGACTTGAGTTTCTACCCTTACCTACCATGGTAGATAAAGTAGGATGGGGAGGAAGGGAGGAGGCAGAGGGCAATGCCATGTGTCTCATGCTAGGATAAATGGCATTGCCCTCTCTTCCAGCTTGGTGAGGAGAAGAGGTGAAGGCAAAGGATTTCCAACTGTGTCATGCACACACAGGAGACAGTCTAAAGAAAATCTCCACAGAACCTATACACTTTGGTTGAGGTTCCACTCTGATAATCTTTAGCGATCTCTCTCTCTCTCTCTCTCTCTCTGCATGTGTCTTGAATTGTGAAGTTATTTTCCCTTCTAGGGATAGACTTGCTATGCCACAACGGAAAAAGTGAGCATTTAAAATTTGCACATGTTAATGAAAGGGGTTCATTCCTGTATGATGTCTTGTATACTCAGATATACAAGACAGAGTGGCAGCAGGCACACTTCTTTGCTTTCTCACTATCGCACAGAACAGGAACATGAGCCATACACTCCACTCAACTGCCACAGTTTCTCCAATAAGGGTTCTCTACCAGTATCGTGTGAAACTCCTTTTGTTTAAGAATGTTTCATGAGAGCTATTGTTTTCACTTTTTATTATGTGTGAACATGTGTGGGTGTGAGCACATATGTAAAGGTCAGAGAACAACTTTTTGGAGTTGGATCTCTATACCTTTACATGAGTTCCACAGATCAAACTCGGCTCGTCATGCTTATGTGGCTAGTGCCTTTACATGTGGAACTATCTCACAAACCCAACATTTGGTTTTGGTAGGCAGGAAAAGATTCTGTCTCCTTCTCCTGGGAGCCTGGAAAGGAGTATAAGTAGGAATGTGGTAGAGAGAGGTTATAGCCTCGCCCAGGGCTGGGAGAAGGACCGAGAGAGGAATGCAGTGTGGGATGGTAATAATTAGGATCCCTCCTGGAAACCACTAATTCTAGGAAGCACAACTTGTTCACATGCCAGAGTCCTCCCTCACTGTGAATCGGTTATAGGTGCCATGTACAATCATTGTGTGTGTGAGAGAAAACAATCTGCGTTGGTTCACAGGTTTTTAGAATGATAGCTGAACATAAAGGAGAATACCTGGCATAGCAAATCAACCATCAAATAAGCGCATCTTAGTGACAGTCCCCTAAGTACCCGTCTGTGTTCCTATCCAAAACTGAATGCATGAAAACACTTAACCTTTTGAAATTCTGGGCTTTTGGCTTCTAAAACGACCCACTAGTGAGGATTTTCCACAATCTCTGCAGCCAATGACCTTCCCTGCTCTAGAGGTCAATGTGATAGCACCGGCATTAAAGTGAAAGGGAGATTCATTTACATATTCACACCACTATGAACTTACAGTACTGAGCCCAAACAGGACAAGTGCAGTGAACACACTGAGGGATGTGTGTATGATCCCAGATGGAAGGCCGAGAAAGGGAAGATAGAACTATCCATGTCGACTCTGTAAGAACTTTTACAAAGACACACAAATACATTATCCTAAGAAAGTCACAAGATTACCAGAAGACAGAGAAAAATACAACTCCATGTTTATTGCTAGAAATTCTAAAATTAAGAGCATTTCAGATTTTCTGATTAATGATGCTTAAGCCACTGACTTTGGGGAAATAAAACAAGTCTTAAGGAAATAGGATGACTAAGTCTGTGTTAGCAGATTAAATAGTTTGGAGGAAATGGACAAGTGCCCTAAGACACAAACTTGCCCAGATTAAATAATCAAGAACTAGAAAATATGAATAAATCAATAGAGGAACTGAATTAATATAGACCCAGGCCAAATGTAATAATGTCTTCCAGCACACAGCAGCCCCTGTGACACTGACCTAGATGCACGCTCATCTGAAGAAAACACAGAAAGCCTGCCACACTGACAGTTGTGCCCCACGAAGAGAATGGGTTTGCAATGGTCATTTTCCTGTTCAGATGGTGAGTTTATCTCCCAAGAACAGCTTTGACGCAGGAAAGAACAATATTTCATTTCAAGCTGGACTACCCATCTACCCAAATACCATTCTGACCAAAGAAACAGATGCAGAATTACAGTCACAGCTGCATTCCGCACACAACAAGTTGGATAATGGTACTCTAAATTGCTAATTACACCTTTAATGCTGCTTTTAGTGCCACTGCAGTATTTTGCCACCTTTGTATAATCTTTTTAAAAGGCACCCTGAAAGGTTTTTAAATGATGACTTTCTATTTTGTTAAAACCAGCGACTCTTCCAAGGAGAAATCACACCCCACCCCACAGCCCCACCCCTGCCAAAGACAGGGTTTCTTTGTGTAAACCCTGACTGTCCTAGAACTCCTTCCACAGAGCAGACTGGCCAAGATATCCACCTGCCTCTCCTTCAGAGTGCTGAGACTAAAGGCATGCACCACCATGCCTGGCTTAAAACTCAATTCTTGAAGTGGCAGTCTCATGGGATTTGTAAGGGCCCATTTATTAACCAGCATTTTGTTTTAATTTACTTCCTTTCCAATTATTTACACTTAAGATTAGAGAAATAATAAGTATGCCAGTCAGTGTTTGTATCTAAATCTATACTTGGTGTGAAAAGTGTGTGGGAGGGATTGTGTCCCTAACCCCCTCATCTGTCTACACCCCCAATTCCCAAATAAACCTGCCTTTTTAAAACCTTTAATCTGTGAATTGGCTTATTTCGTTGGCAGAGATAACCTATCAGAAAGATTATTAGCTAACATATGTTGTGACATTTTGGCACTGGGAATATTCTATGACTAGATTTAGAAAAGTTACCATCAGTACAATTTTATTTTTACTGTGATTACCATGGTAAAATTCATTATACTGCCAGTAATCTCTGCATTTATTCTATGCCAGCATAGTTGAGGCAGATTATTACTTTTTAATATGACAATGTCACTAATGTTTTAGTATTATTTTAATAGATTACAATATATAGATTAAAATACTTCTACTTCATTTTGTTTCTTATACATTTAAGTGGCAAACTTCTATAAAGTAATTTCTACTAAATTATTTTTATAAAGATTACTAAATGATTTGCTTCTCATATGTCTATCTTAAGCTGACTAGAAACTTTGGCATGCTAGATTAGGAAAATACTTTATATGAAGACAACATTGTATCAGTGACGACTGTGTCATGCTTACGCTTTTGATAAATGTTATACTCAGCAAGGTAAATCAATAGGCAAAAGTTAAAAACACAATATAATGGTGGAACCATACTGCTTATTCTGTCTCATTCCTTCCCCTCCCCCCAGCCTTCCTCCCTCTCATGCAGCCGAGGTGAGGAGTATCTTGAACTCAGGCCCCTCCTGCCCCCATCTGCCATGTGCTAGGATTACAGGCATGTGCTACCACCAGGCTGCGGTCAATTCTTAAACTAATACTTACATTTTCTTCAACCATATCATCCAGTTTCAGCGATCTTTTAACTCTGCAAACAAAATAATTTAAAGAAATTTTAGATTTGGCATGCTTTATTTTAGGCTGATATTTTAGGATAAAATAGAAATAGCTGAGTACAAGTTATTTTTTACCAACTAATTTTTACATTGCTTGTTAAAGCTAAATGCCACATTGGAAAAAACTCAACTATAATGATAAATTTGGATTTCTTAATGTTTTTATTTGATCAGTTTATTTCTAGTAGCATATTTTAATATGAGATCCCAATTAAAAATTTACACACATCACTTCTTCAAATATGTAACTTATATACAGGTACTATCATAACATTTACATACTGAAGTTGTATTCTTTTTTGGTGATGGTAGTGGATACTGAAACCAGGCCTTTGTGCTTGCTAGGTAAGAGCTCTACAACTGATCTGTATTCCCAGACCAGTTTTCATTATATAAAATTTTAGTAAAAAATCAGTTGTCTGCATTAAAATATTATGAGGAAAAATTACACATAACAGCAAAATAATCTAAAATGTTTTTTATAGAGACACTGAAAAATCTAAAATTTGCAGGAACAGAGTACTATGTGGTACAGGTATTTATAAGGCAAAGTTTTGTACATTAGCCTAACATTGGACATGATTCAGAGCAAGCAGACTATGACTTAACAGGGGAACAGATGCTGCATGTCTTTATACGTCCCCAATCTGTAAGAAACTATTTTTTGTTTCCTTCACTACATTGATTCAGGAACGTGCCAGGCTCTCTATGTGTAAAATCTGTTCTGCTAAACGGGATGCCCAGCTGTTGGTGACAATGCTTAGAAAGGAAAGTTGAATATTTATAATACTTTATTCCATACAGCTGCTTTCTAAAGAGCAGTCATCAACATTTTATTGATTGTAGACTAAATGCTCAAAGGAGAAAAAGGTTAATATAAATTAAAACTGGTTTTCCAAATGCAGTATTAAAAGTACTTCTTGATCTGAGACATAAATTACCTCAAGTATTAGAAAATTAGAACATTCTGTAAAAGATTGCATTATATTCTGTTCTACAGAATCTCTCCTAAAAATACATATAGATCCTAAAAATTACTAAGAGCATTTTTCTTTGTTTTTAAATTATATGACTATTTTTATAAGAAAAGAGAGCTCCCCTTGATACCACTCAAAATATTTTTCTTGTATCACTGGCTAATTCTTAGAAAAAGTAATTCTGTGTTCAGATTTTAAAAGGTTTCAGATTAGATAATAAGTAGACTCATGAAACCAAGGAAATGTTAAACTTTCAAGAAAGTGAGTTGAGTTAAAATAGGCTATAATCTGTTTTATGCTTGTTTATAACCTAACAATGGTATTTACTGAAGGTAATGTTAAGACAATTCAATAGACAACAAGCAGAAGACATCTGAGAAATGACTTAGTTCAGACTAGAGAGTTTGTATAACATGCTCAATGTCAGGTTTTCAAAGAGGGAAACGCAGAACTATGATAATGAATTATGATAAAAACATCTCTCCTTTGCTAAAAGACTGGAATCTTTTCTGGACCTCACAGCGAGAGCTAGTAATACATCTTGAGGCCTGCTTTCCTACTGTGTACCCCGCCTGTTTGTTTAGCTTGCCAGTGCTTTAGATTTCCCATGTAACCAATTTGTACAACTAAGCTAATGCATAACTGTAATCTTCAGACCTAGAGCTGTCACGTGTGTTCTGACAACCTATTTGCTGGACACAGCACAGAGGCTGAAAGCAGTCTTATAAATGAATCACAAATGTTGGGGACACAAAATTTGGGTACTGCTTGATGGTGCTTGTAATGTTGTCATCTGGGCCAGCTGGAGTCAGTGACTTAATCCCATAAAACTGTTAAAGATTTCTGCAATATACCCCTTATTCCCTACCCATTTGATACTTTTTGTGCTGCTCAATAAATACAAAGCAAAAATCTGTGTTAGAGACGGCCACAGATTCCCAAGATAGCCTTCAGGCAGGCACAGATTCAGACTCATAGACAGCCAGGAAGGATGGAAGACACTGGGAGGGCAAAGAGGAGAATTCTAATCTAGGTTTGATATTGGTTTGATGACATGAAGGAGAAGTGCTTTGATTTCTTTCCTAAAGGCGACAGTGATGCATTATTGGTGTCTCGGAGTTTATTACTAATGCATTTAAACCAACCATATAGGTCTTCAATTGAGAGAGAGAGAAAATTATAGATCACGTAGAGAAGAACAAACTTACTAGAAGAATTTATGATAATTTATCCTTACCTTTTGATCAGAATTGGGCACACTGTTACCAGTTATTAAACTGAGTATCTACTGCTTCCACTGGTATTCCTTTAGCCATGAACAACTGATATGAGAGGATGAAATGAGACCAAGTGGATTATTCTGAAGTCAACAGGAACAGAGCAGAAATGCATAAGACACATCAGGAAGCACAGGGAAAACTTGACTAGAAACAAGGAACTTTCTGGGAGTTCTAAAGTTGTAACTGGCTCTTAAGGCTATTATCTTGGTGAAAAGTAAATAAATAAACCAAACAACAAAAAGTCATGTAAGCAGATAGGGTGATGTAGGCCTTATCTGCAGCATTCAGGAGGCTGAGGGAGGAGAATCCAGAGTTTAAGGCTAGACTGGGTTACATAGCACATTTCAAGACAGCCTGGGATAGCAAAAAAAGGCAAGCAGGGTTATTAAAAAAAATGGGCAAAGGATTTGAACACACATTTCTCTAAAGGTATAAAAATGAGCAGTACACATGTGAAAAGATAGTCAATAGTCACTAGAGGACCCACATCAAACCCATGAGGTTCGGCATAACTACAGAGTACTATTAGTAATAAGGCATTATAGAAAAACAAACAACATATAAAATAAGTACAGAGAAACAGGAACCTGGGCAGACTACTGACGAGAATGTAAACCAGCAGAGCACTGTTTAAACAATACGGCTCTTCAAAGACTTAAAGACGGGATTACCATATGATTCAGGGATTCCATCTCCAAAACGAACAAAAAGCCAGTACATGATGGACATGGAGAAAACAATGCTCGTGGCTGTAAAAGGAACTTTTATTTGCCTGTTTCAGTGGTTGTCTTGGAGGCTTATTGGCTCCGTCTGCTAACCTAGGCCTAGTCCTGGAAGCTTCTAGCCCCCTTACAATCTAACCTACAATGTTTCAGTCTCTGAGACTTACTGCTTAATAAGCTCACTCTTGTTCTTACTGAGCTCTGGGCTGGCTGGTTCAACTCAGCTGTTCTGGCTCAAACTCCTCTCCCAGCTGACTTATTCAGTCTGGCTTTTCTCTCAGTTTCTGAATGCTCTGCGTGGCCTAGCTCAAGCTATCTGCTCTATTCTCCTAGCTCCTTCTTATTCTCGGGCTTATTTGTTCTTCACCTGAGTTCTCTCTCTCTGCAACCTGTCTCTGTATTATTGTCCCGATAAAAACTGCCTTCTTTCTCTCTCTCTGCATTGCCCCTTCAGTAGCTTCCCTTTCCTCTCTTCTCTTGAGAGTTGGGCACATCCTATTCTGTAAGTCTTTCTCTGATTCATCATTTTTTTCTGCCACTCAATTAAACATCACTTTCAAACGTGTGCTTCCATCTACAAATTAACTTTATCTTCACTGTTTGGAATTAAAGGCATGTACCACCACACTGTACCTAAGCTTTTCTTTACCTGAAACTTGTTCTACACTAGGCTGGCCTTGAGTTATCTTGCCTCTGTCTCTTGGAGTAAAGGTGTGTTTACACAGAGCTAGAAGGTCTTTGGATGTGATCTCTTGCCAGAGCAGCCATGTTCTGAATTAACATTCCTCTGCACATGGCAGCATTGTTAAAATGGCTAAAAAGCAGAAGCAGCTCAGGTTGTTGGTGAAAAATGAATTAACACATGGTATGTACATATGTGGATGTTAGCTTTAAAAATAACATTTGATTTCAGGCCTGACTACTTTGTTTTGGATAACCAATTATGGCGCTCTTTCCTGGAAGAAGCTGATTTTCCTTCTCTTGGTGGTAATTAGCTGCCTGTAGTAAAGCACACTAGACAGACTCAGCAGGTTGTATTTTTACATATGTGTGTGTACCAACAAAAATCAAGGAGGGCTGGAGAAACGGCTCAGAGGTTAACAACACTGACTGCTCTTCCAGAGGTCCTGCGTTCAATTCCCAGCACCCACATGGTGGTTGACAACTATGTATAACTGTAATGCCATAAGATCTGATGCCTTTCTCTAATGTGCAGACAAAACCCCACATACATAAATAAATACATCTTTGAAAAAATAATAATCAAAGAAAAAGAGGCCATCAATTTGAGAGTGAAGGGGGACATAGGAAGGGTTGAAGGGAAATGGTAGAATTATATTTAAATTTTAAAAATAATAAAAATCAAAAAATAAAAAGAGCAAAAAAGAAATCTGACACCTATTACAATATAGATGAAGACATTAGTCTAAGTAAAACAAGCCATTTACCAGGCTTGGTGGCATATGTCTGTAATATCAGCACTGGGAAGGCAGAGGAAGATGGATCTTTGTGAGTTTGAGGCCATCCTGGTCTACAAAGTGAGTCCAGGACAGCCAAGGCTACACAGAGAAACAAAACAGAAAACAAGCCAGTTACAGAAGGATACACTGTGAAGATCTTATTCATATGATAGTAATCAAATTCAGAGACATGGAAATAAAAATGGTGACTTTAATAGGCTAGAGACAGGAAGTAATGGGAAATTGTTATTTAATTAAAGTAGTTTTAGTCTCATAAGATCACAGTAAATCTAGAGATGGATGGTGGTGATGGATGTATTCCCACACCTTGAATATGGCAGGCAGCACTTCACAGAGCTGGGGACCAGATGGGATGAAAAAGACAAAGGAAAGCTGCTTACACAGGTGTAACTGGGGTCAAACCACAGTTGCTACTAGAATTAAATGCTGTTACTATTTGATAAAGATAAATATATTTGGTGTGCAACATTTCCAACAGGTAAAATGATATAACATTTTTTAGGAATGAATGT